TCAAACCCTTAGCCCCTTGGATCAACACATGCTCAGAAAAAAAAAAAGAGGACCTGCACGTAAGCCGCTTCAGGATCGGAAGCCGAAGGAGCCAGCCAAGGGCTTGCCACTTTGTGGGATATAGATATGTTAAATGCAAAAGGCTGTCAAGTATAGCAAGATATAGCAAGGTGATATCCCTTCCAATGGTTCCCCTAAACGATTTGTCCAATCCCGCCAAAAAAATGACCTCCATCTCAAACGAGACAGGCACACTAGCGCTGGCTGTCGCTCTCTTGCACTCTCACACCAATAGCTGTCGTCTGAGCAAGGTACGTGCTTCGCAGACCAGTCCAGAGGCCGATCTGCCGCTGGCTCTGCAGCATCTGAATCAGGGACCAGTCTTTTCAAAGCAGCGACTAGGAGGCAAGGAGGTCAGCAAAAATGCCAAGCCTTCTTGAAGTGGTTCTGACGGACCTGAGATTTCCAGCCAGCCCACGCCGCATGCAGAGTGACGCAACAAAGGGGAGATGTTGCGGAGATTAAGCTTTGGTCGCTCATCGTCTCTTTTCTGCCAAAACATGAGTTGTCCTACCGCTGAGACTGAAGTTCCCACGGCTGTGCAGAAAGGGCGTTGTGAGCGCCATTGTGGGTGCTGTGCTTTACACTTTCGGCGCTTGACATAACGTGATGACTGCTTTGGTGCGCCAGAGTTTCGTGTAGTGTCGTCCACTTTGTGCTTGGCACTGCTCTCTGCAGGAACGTTCCTGTGTGGCACACGCGGCAGGTTAGCGTGAAACTTGAATCAATCCAGCACCTCTAAATGTCTACCTGTCTTCCGGACACACTTCACAGTATCCCAACCGTCCTCCCGCCGGAGCGGCGTTTGCCCTTCAAAGGACCGAAAGAAGGCCCGATTGAGAATGGCAGGTGAGGTCTTGGAATGTCTTGGGGCCCTACAAAGTTGGCGGCTGGGAACGTGGCGCCTGAGCCCCTGGCAAGGGTAGGATCTGCGCGCCGAGCCTCAGCCCGGCATGAAGTTCCACACAGATTAGAAGTGATTCTCCACAACTTGGATTCTACCTCCAGCCTCCTTCTCAACATACATTTATGTCTCCACGGCACACGCAAGACCGCACCTGCATGACCTCCTGCGAGCTTCAGCCTCAGGATCGAGGATCGCCTGCCAAACAACATACGTGGCGGGTGCGGGTGCGATGCTCGGGACCCGACATGAACAGGCGGATTTGAAACCTCGACTGAGTAGAAATTCCACGGAACCCGATTTGCGGTCCCCACATGGCCTGGATTGGCCTGGCTTGCACCGGGAGGTTCGCTGCGCGGAAACTTGGAACGCGCGTTGGCCCATTTGCCTTGCTCTTGAGCAAGCTTGTCGGCAAAATGTGACAGGCAGCAACACGTGTCAAATCACAGTCAGGCCCTAGGTTCTGGGGTTAAGTTTCCTCATTGCTCGAGCAATCTTCGCCCGGAAAGCTTGGCCACGCGCACACTTTTGCTGTTCGCAGTAGTCTCGGAAAGCGCATGCAAGGGGGTTGTTCCAGGTCGGCTTTGCCGCACAAGCTGCTGCAGCTGGCTTTTTACGATGCCAGGACAAAGGTCACCTTGAGATCGATATGTGCGCAGCACAGTGTGGTAGCGGCCAAAGAACCAGGCGGCAGGTGTCCCACGCTTGCGCACAATATCCCTCTCATGTGAATCGCTTGTACAAGGCTGTGCTTTCAGCCTCACCCCTCTCCATCTCCCAAACCATCATTTTCTGGGAAGCACCAAGCTCTTTCCAGACCCGCCGAAGCCGAGGTCCGAGACTGATGTGCGAGGTGCCTCCATCCATGGAGCCTGTGGGTGGCGCCAACTCCTGCCTCCCTCGCAGACCCATCTCGCAATGGTTGGTCACTTGCAACTTGCGACACGTTCAGCGGGCTGAGCAATCAGGCGTCCTGCTCGCCAGGCACTGTCTTGCGAAAGGAAGGAAAGGCAAAAAGCAAGGGAAAAAACTAAACAGCCAAAAATACAGGAAGAAAGAAAAGAAACACAGAAAAACATGAAGACGAAGGACAGAAGAACATAAATAAACACAGAACAAGAAAACACAAAATAACATTTTTTTTGACAGCAAGGAAGAAACAAGAAAGAAGGAACAACAAGAAGAAAGAAATAACAACATAAAGAAAGGACAAAATAGATAATACAACGACATACATACAAAAGGAAACGCATACATAACGATTGCAATGAACACCTAAAGACAGGAAGAACCAAATAAGTAAGGAAAGAAATGGCTAAATGAAACACATAATGGCAGAAAGAGAGAAATACAGTAAGACAAACATAACAAAGGAGGAAGAAAGAAACAAACCACACACATAAATAAAAAGAAGGAAAGAAAACATGAATGAAAGAAAGGAAGAAAACAAGAAAGACACATATGAGGCTGGAAAAGAAAGTAAGAAGGAAAGACAGGACAAGAAAACAAAACCACATGCAGACAGAATAAAGAAGGAACGAATAAAGGAAAGAACGAAATAAAGGTAGAAAGATAGAAGGGACTCAAGAACACAACAACGACAGGCCGAAACACAGAAAGAAGGGAAGGACAAAAGACAAGGTAAACACCTGCACAAGTGACTAATTAAATAATGACAGAAATAAATACCCAAATCAAATGCACCAAACCAAACACACCGCATTCAGATAACCAATTAACAAACCACCCAATATAAGCTAACCGTGTTTAATCCAACCCGAGCCAAAAAATCGTCCAGAACAACCAAGTAAGCAAGCAAGCCCAAAGCAAGTGATGGACAAATTAAACAAGACACACAAGCAAACATACATACACACACACACACTCGCACACACACCACCTGCACCACCGCCACCACCACCGCGCCCCCCCAAAACCACCACCACAACCACAGCAGCAGCGGCAACAACAGGAGGAACAGCAGAATCATAAAGCATGCAAACACACACACACACACGCAAACAACCGCACACACGAATGCACACACACACACAAACAGACAAACAGACAAACACTCACACTCACACCCCATCACACACCCAAACACACAAACACACAAACACACAAACACACAGACACAAGCACACACACACACACTCACGCAAACGCATCCTACAGACACACACACACACAACCACAAACACGCACTAACACAGAGCATCACAAACACACAAACACATAAACACACACACACAAGCACAAGCACAAACACAAACACAGCCACACACACACACACACGCCGCACACAAACACAAACACACATACACACACAGCCACACATATACACACGCGCGCGCACACACAAACACAAACAAACACACAACCACAACCACACACCAACACGCACAAACGCAAAGACACACACACACACACAAAAAAACACAAACACGCGTAAACAGACAAAACACAACTACTCACACTCACAAGCGCACACACACACACACACGCACGCACGCACGCACACGCACACGCACACGCACGCACATGCACATGCACATGCACATGCACATGCACATGCACATGCACATGCACATGCACATGCACATGCACATGCACATGCACATGCACATGCACATGCACATGCACATGCACATGCACATGCACATGCACATGCACGCACGCACCACGCCCATGCACGCACGCACGCCTATGCACGCACGCACGCCCATGCACGCACGCACGCCCATGCACGCACGCACGCCCATGCACGCACGCACGCCCATGCACGCACGCACGCCCATGCACGCACGCACGCCCATGCACGCACGCACGCACGCACACACGCACGCACACACGCGCACACGCAACGCCCGCACCCACACACCCACACACACAGACCCACACACGCACATACACACACATACACACACATACGCACACATATACACACACATACACATATACACACATACACACATACACACATACATACACACGCACACATGCGCTCGCGAACACAAACACACAAACACAAACACAAGCACAAACACAAACACAAAAAAGAAACACAGCCACACACACACACACGCGCACACACACGCACACATTGTGACATATATGCTCACACGCCGAAATCACACACAACCACAAACATCACACAACGAACCTACCAACCAAAGCCCCCGTCGGGAATCAGTCGGATCCAAAAGGTGCACGCTTCCTTTTGTGCTCAGGCAGCACAGCCGAATAGGAATGGCACCTGAAGCAGTGCAACCTACCATCAACATATATAATATAACATCATCTGATTGAGGGCTTTCTGTCGCCCCTTGCAAGGGTGTCATGGCATTCTGCGATTTTCATGGTGAAGGACTTCTGATCAGTAGACATATTTGTTGCGTGTTTGCCAAGCGTTCCATGTCATTATTTTTCATCTACTCGACCTGGGCTTGACAGTTGAACACCTCCCCGTCTCCGCTACAAGCCTTGAACATGATCGATGGAGTTGGCGACGTTCGCCAGCGACGGAAGCCACCTCTGGGCTAGAAGCAAGTCATTGACCCTGAATGCACGGTGTTCAGAACCCTACAAAAGCAAACGGAACCTTCTTGTTGAATGCCAAACGTTGAGGGTCGGACATTCAGTTCTCTGAACTACAAATGAACAAGTAACTTTGAAAGACAGAGCGCCGCTGCGCCGCTGAAGAGCGACAAGACCACCGCCCAAGACACGCGCAACCATGCTTCCGCGCGACGGTCTGTAGCATGGTCGACTGTTCGCGGGTGACTGGCGGCTTGAGCAACGACGCAACCGAACTCCCGGCCCCACTTTCTCTTTATGGAAAGGCCCTAAGCATTGGAGGGTCCTGGCAAGGGCGGTCTCAGAGCTTAATGTGGAAAGCGCTTCACCAGATGTACCCACCAACAGGGCTTTTTTCGTTCTCCGGTTCAGCAACATGCCGGTTCAAGGAAACACACTGAAACACACCCAAACAAGCAAATTGAGTACCACATCAAAAAGCCAATCAAGTCTGTGCAATTAGAGAACACACAACAAAGAACAGAAGTGCAAATAATTGGAGGCGGGACACCAAAATGAGGGGCCCCGTTAAAAAACGGCTCTAAATGTTTCCAGGGCCTCAAAAGGGGCGGAAATTCAGGGAAGTCTTAGGGGCCGAGCGCAGTGGAAGGTCCTCTCCCTCCCCACATTGGTGTGGAACCCAAACAACCAATCCATTCTTTCAATCGAACTGTTGGGTTCCTTTTTTGGAAGCCAACATAAACCCTGCTTGAACATGGGGCCACTCCGAGCTACCAAGGTTAGCCGTATGGCCCCGTCAGTGGGTTGAAGAAGCACGGCGCAAAAGGAGGCTTCCCCGGCCACCAAAGCCAATGGATTTCCGGGCTTTCCAAAGGCTTTCATGGATCCGAAGTCTTTGACAAGGAGCTGTTTTGCCGCGTCCGAAGTCTAATTAATGGCTTTGCCAACCGAAACCAAACGAGCAATGCATGGCGCAGACTGCCCGAGAGCATTAAGAGCCACGAATTCACCACGAGTTCGCCGCTGGCTGTTTTCCTGCATTTCGAGGCATGGCTTGGGCCTTTCAAACGGTGACAGACAAGTGACAGAATACCTTGGAATCCAGGGGGCCAGCGCCCAGCCACGAAGCGGGCAGGTGAAACTTGCCCGAGCGGTGGACGCACACCGGCTGTGTCGGAAGGTCCACTAAGGCGTTGGGTTGAACAAACCCAACAGAAAAACTCGATGACTTGATGACTCGATGACTCGATGGCTTGATCTGTGGAAACAACTGTTGCCGTTTACTCATGCTCTTGAGGCATCCCAAAGCTGCCGTTGCCTGCGCCTGCGAATGAATCACCGAGTCTCGCACCAGGCGGCAATCTGCGGAAGACTTTTGCCTGGGGAAGTCTCCAATGGGCGATCTTGCAAGGGGTATGTGAAAGGGCGCGCGGCCAGTGGAGAGAATCAAATAGGCTCTAGGGGCCACTGCAGCGGGGTACCTGAAGATTTGCCTGAGATGCCTGAAGACTTTTCTGAGAGGAATCCAACGACGGGCCTTGCAAGTAGTCTCGGTGGCCAAAGGAACATCAGCACACGTGATCTTTACTCATGGTGCGCGAGCAGAAAATGATTGCTGTTTGTAGTCCCCACAACAACAAAAAGCAAAAGAAGCAAAACAATTAACACAAATCAAACACACGAATGCGCAAACAACGAGTGATGCTTGCTGATTCAAGGGCCCTCCAAGCGACCCTGGACTGGTCAAACGGTCAAACAACAGAGGCGTGCCTCCACCACATTCACCAGCCCGGCCATGCATCTCCCCCGCAAAGGCCAGTTCGGCCATCCCGTGTGGGATTGTCTCAAAAATAAGCTTCGGTGTTACTTGTGGTTTCACGTTAAAGCCAGCCAAAAGCGGATTCCTTCAAATGGGAACACGTGGGGCCGGCAAGATGACTCAAGTCATGGGAATTGTGGTTTCTCCGCCTCAGGATCCAACATCATTGAGCCCAATCAAGTGAATCTGCAAGACCCTTGCGCACAAAAAGCGAATGCCGCGCCCATGAAAATCCCCCCGTCAAGCAGGGTTGTGTTGTTGGAGGAAATAAAGGGTCACTTTATGCATATCTATCTAACCTGAGCTGGTCTCAAGGACCGCCACAAAGGGGTAACCTGTCTTCTTATCGGTGGAAACACAATCATTGAAACACACAGCCTAAGACGTGTTGCTTCAAAGATCCTAGCTGCAACTAGTTAAAATGAAGCGAAAGGAAACAACACAATTTTCTACCTACTGGCTTTAGTTGTTTTCACGTCCTTGTCCAAGGCCAACGTGTCCCAAAGGACCCCAAAGATAGCTGAGACCCGCCCTGCTGGCGCCATCCTGTGCCAAGTGGCAGTAGCTCTCCACATTAGCCTGGGGCAAATGGGTGATAACAAGTTTTCTGTCTTTCAGAGGTGGAAGGTGGTTGCCTTTGTTGACCCTTGCTGCGATAGCGCTGGGTGCTTGATGTCCGTCCAATCATGATTATGTTGAGTACTGCAAGTGACAACGCGTTGCTAACTTTATCTATCGCGATAGGGAATTCATTCTTCAAGGGCCAAAGCAACTGTCTAATGAGGGTTCGTGCAAAAGCCATTTGTCAAAGCCCCAATTTGCTGATTTGAGCTCCTTGTAACCACTTGGCTTAGAGACGCTCAATCACTTTGGGGCCAACCAAACCGGGTGCCTCTCGGGGTTGCTAGCGGCCTGCCCTGCAAATGCAGCTACATCCTTGACGAACAGGATAAGAACCTTTGCTGGTGCTGTCCATTTTGTTGCCCTTCAAACACTGCCCGTCTTTCTATCGCCACCCACAAAGCGATGGACATCAACCCATTGCTGATGTCAGATGTGTTGCTTTGGCGGCAACTCTCCCACCTGAGAGATGCCAGTCAGGAAGCAACACTCGGACAACCACGGGCGGCCTTTTTGGTATGAACTTGGAAAGCTTTGGTTGCAACCAAGGGCAAACAGGGCCTACACCCGCTAGGTCATGGTTTTATGCCATTGTGGAAGCACTATGCGCAGGTTTCGTACCTCTGTTTCTTGGGGGTGGAGGTAGAGCATCAAAGAACGTAGACACTCGTATTCACGGCAATGGAACGCCAATCACTACCTCAGGACAGCACGGGCATGGCCTGCAAAAGCACAGGAAAGCTATCCTGTCGTCCTTGCTATCTGTCTTAGGTAGCTGGGGGCTCCTTCTTTTGACACAATGAGCCCATGTCAAAATTGCTTATGCGGGTTGTGGGGCATGGCTGTTTGATGGTCCATGACGATTCCAACCCCCAGCAAGCAGGCGCACATCTGATCAGTTGGCCCCGACATGTTAGCTCCCCCCGCCCGTTTTGATACTCGCATTCAGGGCACAAAAGGCGCGCTGGGACCTCGCTTCCACCTTGCGCCAGTAGAGTCAGTGCAACCGTCCTGTGGCAAGGAGCTGCTGCCGGGAAGGGGAGGAAGGGGAAGTGACCCCCCAGTGTGGACGAGGCACGCCATGCCGCAGCAACACTTTGCAAAAAGGGAGGCTCCTACTTTGACAACCCAGGTGTGATTCATACCTACAGCAAATGATCAGTCGCGGAGAAGCACCGGCCGCGTCCGGAATTCGAAAGAGAACTTAAACGGCTAGCAACAATTCAACAACACAGGTGAGAATCAATTTCAATCAGGAACCCGGCAGACATTTACCCAGTCCAGCCTTCCTGGTGCAAGTGCGATTTTCATTGGGTCCCGTTCGACGTGTCTCCGTTCTCACTCACAGCTACGTGGGACCTGCTTTTGTAGTCGGGGTCGGTTTGATACGAAGTGTGTCTCCTAATTCAGAATCATGTGACTGCCGCAAGGTTCACTTCAATAGATTGTGTTTTTGCCAGAGGAAAAAAGCACGGGCAAACAAAATCAGGCATTTAAACAAATCATGGTAAAATATGTTGTTTTTTGTTCTTGAAGTGATCCCCAAACCGTCGACTTTTATATAAATCCCTTGTTTTAAGACCACAACAAGACCAGACAGCCATGCAATGGGGGGGTACCGCAAAAAGAGGGCCTGATTCTGCTTAATCTAACTTCTAAAGGGGGGTTCGCAAAATTGCCACTAAAGAGGCCTGCTGGACAGTTGGAACTGTTCCCGGAAAGGAAAGATTATTAAAGCAGACCCCAAATGACATGGGACACCGGCAGGTCTCCAAAACACTCTGCAAATTGAAGAGCACAGGGTTGAACAATTCGCTTCTGTGATGCCCCTGGCAGACCGTCCCGATGACTAATTCTACACCCATAATTGTATTTAACGGCCCCCTATCACAGAAGTGGAACATCCCTGGTTCACGAATTCGACCAGGCAAGGGAAACGGGTGGAATCCTTGCGCAACTTGTGTCCGAGCCATCTATCACCCTCCTCAGGACAGTGGTAGTCGCCTCTGTGCTGATCGGGGCAGTCGCACCTTGCGCGGCCAACAAATGGAACGGCCATGCGATGCGCATCAGGGCCCAAGTTTAAGCCACGACTGTGAAAACAAACAACTTTTGGTCTCTCTTGCAAAACCCGCCACCTGTTTGTTTGAGCAAGCGTTGCCCAACCCGCGGCGATAGTTTAACCAAGAGAAGGGGGCGTCCAAAAGCGTTGGGCCCTTGGGAAGCTAAGGAAACCGTTCGGATTTGCGCATGGGATGCGCAGGAATCCTCCAGTACGGTTCCATGTTGGATTCCTGCGCTTCTGGGACAGTCGTTTGTTTTGCACTTGAGATTCAGAACCGTCATTCAGACTGAGACTTGTTAAGTTGCTCGAGGTTTTGTGCTTTGGGTGAAAGTTTGTTTGTTGCCCCCAAAAATAACAAGTGCTTTCAGAAACAGGCCCAAGTCGCCACACACTTCTTGCCTGCGCAACAGATGGAGAAAAAAAATCCAAGCAAACATGGGCACGTCAAGGCGAAAGGGGAGGTGCTCAGCACAAAGCCCTCATTTTCCGCGGATTCCTCCCTCGTCTTTGTTTGTCAGATTGTCGGAGCGTATCCCTTGCAGAACTCCTTGCAACTGCTCCCCACCGCTTAGTGTCAACTTCCGATTGGTGCGGAGGCTCATCTGGTGCGGCTTCCTTGGCGAAACTTGGCGCAACTCGGCAAAACGTTGTGAAACTTGGCGTAATTTGGCGAAACTTGGCTTGGCAGAACTTGGCAACACTTGGCGAAACTCGGCAAAACTTTGCGAAACTCGGCGAAACTTGGCGTAACTTGGCGAAACTTGGCAGAGCTTGGCAACACTTGGCGAAACTTGGCGTAACGCGCTCTCCGAAAAAAAGTAAGACTTCTTTTTTTCTCCACGTGTTCTTTTTGTTTCACGTGTTCTGAGTTGCGACTCTGGCGGAAAACAAGTGTTCTGCACCAGTGAAATTCAACTTCTTGCGAAACTCGGCGAACCTCGGCGTAACTTGGCAAAACTTGGCCAAGCTTGAAACTCGGCGAAACCTGCCGATAATTATGGTCACTTGGCATCCCTCGCTGGGGTCATGGGTCACGTGTCATGTGTCATGCCGCGACGACGTCATGCCATGCCAGCGGGCTAGGTCATGTGTTTCCCATTGCTTGGATCGCATGCCCTCCGGAACTCCAATCAAAGGAAAAACGGTCTCATTCAGATCTTTGCTGCATGCTAACATGACAATGAGCAAAAGGTCTAACCTGTTGTTGGTACCCTTCTGTGGCCCTCCAGTACATGTCGCAGGCCCACTCGCAAAGGCTGAAAACACTTCCTTGATTCTAATTTCCCCGAAAAAAAGAAGAAGAAAAAGATAAATAAAACAGCCCGCCAAGCCACTTAACACGAAGACTCTGGCGCTAGCTCTCGGATTGCAATTCATTAGTCGGGGTTCACATTGCCTGAAGCTCAAAAGCCCCCTGGATTGAAGCATCTTCCCTGACTCAAACTGCCTCGCACAAAACCCGTGAATCAACACGCTGCCAAAGAGCGCTTCGCCCCAGTAGCCCGGCACCTGAGCCAGCGCAACTGGAAAGAATCCAAGCTTTGATGCCAAAGGCAAAAGCACACAACCGGCTCAAAAACATACGTTGGCCAACACCCAAAGGCTAGTATTGCATGGCTTTCTTGAACCCCTTCTCCCCTGCAAATTGGCATGGAACCCAACAAGTCATGTACACATATATATATATATATATACAACTGTATGCACATTATCTGCACTATATGTACAAGCATACTATCTACTATGTGCCTAACTTACTATCTATACACATACAATACTTCAGGGCTGTCTAAGCGCCGCTACGTTGGAATCGGCGGATCTGGGTTTCCGGACCGGATGGTCGCGCCAGCAGCAGAAGCCCGCCGGCACTTGGGGCGACGCCGCGGATGGCGCCGGGGTCTGAGGGCGGTCGCTGGGACACCAGGAGGCGACCTCCAGGAAGCGGTGGCAGAATTCCTGTCGAAAGCACTTGGATACCTTCATGAATCCCCAACTCGCCATTTCCGGGCGAATTGCAAGCAATGACATCCCACACACAGGAGCTCCCCTCCCTTACACACGGCACGAGGTCGCGATTTGATTCGCCCACTTTGTGGTTTGGCGGTTGCTTCCGGGCTGTTCAACAGGGTTTGACCCGATAAAAGACATCCAACAATGACCTGTAAATCACCTCTGAGGATCGAGCGGGCTGGCAAATCGGCCACAATGCATCCTTGACGCAGCCTGACTACTACCCTGTAGAATCAATGTGACACAGAAGCATCCCTTGTTTTACAGTTTAACACCTAGCAGCCAGGGGGACTGTTCCCGCGATGGCGCTGCTCGTGTCTGCTGAGCCCGTTTTCAAGGAATGGTTGATCCCCCTATTCAGCCAGTTTTGCGACATGGATTCTTGGGTCACAGTCACAGTTCCCTGTGAACATGGGCGTGCTTGCGTTTTTCTTCCTTTTGCCCGGTCGGTTTGCCTGGAGTGCTTCTTTCGAACCATGTTGGAACTGGGAAAACAATTCTGAAACATACATGTCGTTGTGACAAGGTCCTCAAACACCAAATCAATGCCAACTTGATGTTCCCTCCGCTCGATGTTCCCTCCGCTCGATGTTTGGCTTGCTCTGGGTCACGTTAGGCTTTGAAGACCCGCTGTGACCGCTCCAATAGGCAATCCAACAAAACATCGCGAAACTCGAACCAAATGGTAATGCCGCCAACCAACAAAGTCATGTCTTAACTCACTAAAGCACTATGATTCAAAAACACAACTGCTCCAGCAAGGGTTTAAGGGACCCTGGAAAAACAAAGGTCGTAAAATGTTTCGGCAATTTCTGCCTTTGTTTTGGCCGTTTCCGCCTTCGTTTTCAGGCGCAATTTCACGAGCAACTGGCCACAAATTGCACTTCTGGAATGTAGTGCTGCTGATGCGCTGGTTGAGCAAAGTTGAATTTGCCAACAAACTGCTACCGAAAATGATCTGCCAATCTTTATAGACGGAAGCATGGTCGCAATCCAACGAGGAAGCCACCAGCAATGCAAGCACGGAAGCACGAGCCCCGGCGAGGGCTGAGCCCAGATTGGGGTAAGCACCTTCCTTCACATTTCAGAAAAAATCCTCGATCCAAAAAACTGGTGCCAATTCAAATGTAAAGACCTTTCTGAAAAGGCAAACAACAACTGCACACTTGAAACGTTGCAGGAATGCCGTGTTATTGAAAGCACTGCTGTCCCCACGCTCAAAACCCGGAAGCAGCAATCATCGGAGGGGTGGCTTTCAACCTCTTTGGCAAAGATTCGCCACTCTCTGGCAAAGGAGCTCTTAGTGTTTGCTGGATGAGACCTTAGGAGAGTCTGACAGCGGGTAGCAGACCTTTGGGTACGACAAACTTCCAAAACATCAGATTTATTCAACCCTTTTCTTCTCTGCTGCTTGAACAAACACTATAAAAAACGGTGACTAACTTCAGCATCGTCATCGTTCTAGTCTAAAAAACTGTCCTCCGTTGATATGCGGTTGCGGTTGTGAGTGATCGTGCGCATGTGCGTGTGTAAATATAGAGATATATCTATATATGTATACATCTGTATCTAAAAAATAAATAAATAAATAAATATAAATATATATATATATATATATATTACATGTATGTTTATGCTACCGGACCAGAAACCGCTCTCAACGGCGTGCACTTTTTTCCTGCAACCCTGCATAGCACGCCCGCACCACTGCTTCGCCGTGGCACTGCCCACACGCCTGACCATGATGACCGCGCCCGCTCGACTGCTTCCTTTCTGCACGCCTGCCCATGGTAAGTGCATCGTTACAACACTGCTCGCACGCCTGACCATGGTAAGCACACCCGCCCGACTGGCACGCCTGACCATGGTAAGCACACCCACCCGACTGCTTCGTCATAACGCTGCGCGCACGCCTGGTAAGCACACCCGCCCGACTGCTGCGTTACAACACTGCGCGCACGCCTGACCATGGTAAGCGCGCCCGCCCGACTGCTGTGTTCTAGCACTGCGCGCAAGCCTGACCATGGCAAGGACACCCGCCCGCTGCGCGCACGCCTGATCATGGTAAGCGCGCCCGCTCGACTCTTTGTTGTAGAACGCCGGACCAAAGATGTTTTTCGCGGACGCGAAAAGGTCGCCTGCCACACTAGCACGATAGACTCTACCTGGTCAAGCTGCAAAGCATATGTCCCGAGTTCGCTGCCTTCGTGCAGCCCGCATCTCCTCTTGTATGTAAAAGTCTTGGCAGCGGCGCTATGTCTTGCGCCAGTGAGATGTGGAGCCGCAAACTGTCGTAGCGATCGCAAAGACGTGAAAAAGGAGAAGGCAGGGAATGGGCGATACAATTTGCGCTTCGCTTCAGCGAAACGCAAAACGCCTCTAAAACTGAGCCCTCTTTTCGGAAGGTTTGTTGGGGACTCAATGTGCGTTTCGCTCAGGTGAAACGCACGTTTTTTGAGAAAAGCGGCAAAACGCGAGCGCGGATTTCGGTCCGCCGGGATGTTTATGTGCGGGTGTCGGGAGTGGTCTGAAGAGCCCGGCTGTACCGAAGGCTCCAAAGTAGTTCGGAAACGCTCCCATATGAGTTGAAGGCACCCACATCCCAGAACAAATCTATATAACAGTTTGAACTGTTTGCATGTTCAGAGGAACATTAAATAGCAATATAGTCTCCAAATGGACACGTTGTGTTGTCCCCTTGCTCACCACCAGTTGTTGCCACCACTAAAACGCAGTCCATTCAAATCCCCGCTGCCAGGAAACATGCACGCGTGGAAAACATCAAGGATGATAGCAGGGCCCCAAAAACGTGTGAGGTTTGGATTGGAGCCGTTGCTCTCCAATGAACCCTTACATTCCTGGAGAGAATAACCACACATGTTTTTCCGAAAGCGCGACTCTTCCGGATGACAACCCTGGGTTTGGTCGCAAGTAGCCCTCGTTCAAATGAACAACTGCTTAGCTGCTGGCTAGTTTGTGCGTAAGCAATTATTCCAAAAAAGCCGCAGCAAACACAAAAGCCAACCATATCAAAATATGTTTTAGGCCTCGGGGACCCTTTGAAACTTTGGTCAGCCTCTCATAAGAGCCTTGCAAGGGTACCCGGAAGTCAGTCTCAAAATAGAGGCTTGCAACTACGGACCCGTTGCCTAGCTAGTGGCACCCGAGAATTCTCCTAACCACACATGGTGTCAAATACAAAAGGCGTGGCAAAATAATGAAACACATAATGCGGATCCCTTGCAGCGACAAAACATGTCTTAGCTCTTTATCTTAAAATCACACAGAGCTTCCTTCAGCTGGCATTCCCTCCCAAGTCCTTGCCGTTGGCTGACGTGCCAGCCCCCCGTTGCCAGGTGCCCTGACCCTCCTCGCCAGCGACGCACTCACAAACAGCTGGTGACCCTGCAAACCGACGCACAACCCCACGGGCTTGGTTGCGACTCTTGGAAAAGTTGTTGTTTCAGCAGGGACTTAGTTGCTGCAAAGGTTAAGGGCTTTATGTATGGACGAGGGAGTTTCGAACATCCGGCGATGAGGAACGCTTGATGCGTCCGAATCGGTTCTAGTTGTCACTCAGGTCAAGGTAAGGGCCCGAAGGATGAGAACGAAGCGCCCAAGGTAATCTAGTATCTTGACTGCAGATGCCAGCTTTGGATCGCCAGGCTGTCTTTTTTTGGTAATTTTGAGACAGACCCTTTTGTTTGCCTTTTTCCGGACATCCGCTTGTTCTTCTTGTTCTTGCAGCTTTACGGGGGAAAGTCGGAATTCCGTCGGCGACTCCTCGCTGCAGCCCTCCGGGGGGCAAGGGAAGTCGCCCCGATGCTCTCGGGGACAGGCGCAGGGGTCCCCCGCGTAGAAGGGCGAGGGCTTGTCCCGCCAGCAGCAGAAGCCCTGAGGGCTCGGATGGGCTCGGCCAAGTCGGTGAAACGGCCGTCAAAAAAGCCCGGGCCCCTTCTTTCGCAACCAAATTCCAATGTTTTACAGGAAACATCGCCACAATGAGTGTCCAGTTCAGAACTTTGTAAGTTGAAAACACGGAACCCCTGAAGTATGAAGACACCCTTCAAGGGGATTCCTTTCAAGTATAAGGACCCATGCACAAGCAACATTTGTTTCGATTTCAGTCTCGCTTAGAACCATTCCCATTATGTATATGCTAGCAAGTATAAACGGATCCTTTGAGAGTATAGACACCTCCGTTTACTTTGCAAAACGAGAATTGAGAAGCCCCTGGAAAGCACTCTGACGGTCAAGTGCAAGCCTACGCGGCAAGGGAAACAAGGAGCCTTGCAGATCCCCTGGGCCTCCAGGAACAAGGCTTAGATTGAGTCGGTGCGAGGTTTTCTTTGGCAGTCCTTTTGAGGGGAACAAGGGCGTCACAAGGTGCTTTCCACTCGCCTCCGATGGCCGCTCCACCCACAACTCGGGGATTGGATCTCGCCGATGCATCCTTGGCGAGAGAGAGAGGGCAAAACACTTAGCTTAAACATGGCTGTCCATTTCGAATTAACGCCGTTCACAAACCCCCGATGCGCGAGTTCATTGAATTTGCGCAGATGGGCGGAACTTGCTGAGCAAAAGAAGTTACAGTACCAGGCAGCGAAGGATGCCAACTGGAAAGGGTGTCTTCTTTAACCAAGAAATCATGTTGGAATTTGTATTATGTATATATATATATATATCCACCAACCACTGTTGAGGGGTTCCCTCTTAAAGATTTCGGAAACTCAAATCAAGCGGCTTTCTATTCTCAGCCAGAGCCCAAATGGCAATGGCGAAACACCTGAGCCAGGGGTGGCGGCTTGTCTTCCACCTAGCTCTAAACTGGTTTTTGGGCGGTCCTCTCTTAGTTGGTCAAGAGTCACCATCAACAGGGTGGTCGGTTCGGAGGCCACTCAAACCCAAGATCAAGTAGAGTTGCTAAAGGTGATCGCAAAATACAGAGAGTCTTTTTGAAACCGTTCCCCGAAAAGGGCCGATCCCTTGTTGTGACACGGCCAAACTGCTTATGTGAGCGATGGCCGCATTTCGCCTATCATCGTCGTCTAACATCACAAGAATGATCATCCCTTCCCATCGACTCCCCAGAAAACATCTGGCGACGCGGAGATTTTTTTTGTCAACGGAAGGGGTTCATTGGTTGTTCACTCCACTGGCACATACAGAAAGCCTGCTCCCGGGTCGAGGTGCCCGCAGCCCACGAAGCTGAGGCCCATCACGATGAGCACACAGGAGAGCACCTTGAGCGCCAAAAACCGTTTCAGTCATTGTCATTTGAGTCATTTGAGTCAATCCAGGTTTTGGGTTGATCTTAAGTTAATGGATGTTAGTGGCTTACTAGCGGAACTCCCCGCGCCTGGAAGGGCACCGGGTTTTCAGCAATGCGCTCCCGCATGGTTGGCGGCTCCTGGCCGGATACGGAGATCTGTTTCTGGGATTGGTTGACGGTTGGCAATTTGAGTGCTGCCAGTTCCGCTTGAATCTACGCTCGAAACATCAACGTGGACCCGAAAAGCGTGGCGCTCTGGGTTTCTGATTCTACCAATTTGGTACCCGACACGACCCTGCAGCCATCTTCAGCTTCGACTTTGCAAAACAAACTCATATACACCCATATTTGCTTGAATTTCTCAGTTTCGCATGATCACGCGACACGTGTCCAATCTTCAGCTGATGGCATGTTCTGCACGGTGTTTGAAGTTTGGCCATGGAGCAAGTCTAAAGCGCCAGGGAAATCTTGTAACACTCGGGAACTATTGACACATGTGACATGGGCAACTCTTCCTTGGGTCACGGTCTCCGGTCTCAAATAAGTCGAAGGGCACTTTGTCCCGGTGGCTGCGAAATCAAACCGTTGGAGAGCTACGCACAAACGTACAACTGATTGCATCGAAGGCAATGAGGATGGACCGTTTGAGCTTGGCCACTTACGTGTTCATTCCTAAGAGGAAAGGCACAAACCGTTGTCACAAATCCGACTTACGAGGGTTGATCGTTGAGCAAATCCCATTTAAGCGTAAGTACACACGTTTTTTTATTTTTTATTTTTACATTGGCAACTCTTACATTGATAAGATGTTTTACTCCGTGGCCAACATGGGATAAAGGCACCCCCCCTTCCCCTTTGGTGGGTTCATCATTGCTTCCCTTCAAAATTGGCCAATCACCGCGAGCTTGTGTTGCCCCCTCCTAGAAACGGTCCCCTGAAGCTTTCTATCCATGCCAAGATATATATATATATATATATTCACAAGGGATGCGTTTTGGATGGTGCTTGGGGTTTTTGAAGTTGGGTGCTGTTGTGGCAAAACACCTGGGCAAAAAATCTACAAACTCCACCCTGACAAGCCAATCTTCTTATCTTGGGGCTTTGTCATCTTTGGAGCAATCCTGACCCACTTTGCTCCATCCAGCTCCTTCTCCTCCTCCACCACCGGTGCAATCTCCACTGCCTGCTCCTCCGCACCGCCGAAGAACCAAGACATGGCTCCGGACTTCGGCGGCCGCTCGCGGGCGCTTGTGGCCTTTGACTGCCAAAGCCAGTTTTTGGGTGCAACCCTGCAGCCAAGGGCTCCTTGGCTGATCAAGATGCTTGCACGTGTTGCATGTTGGGGAAAGTCCCCCATTCCGTCTTGAACTTGACAAGCTGCGTGCAATGCGCAAACCGCTCTACTGACCGCTTCATAAGCGGCGCAATGTTGCCCCTGCAGCAAATCTTGTCAAGCTTGACCAATGGACTTCGCACACCTTTCCAGTTGCTGAATAATATACTCATGACGTCTGATGGCTTGCAACTCTGCCTCGCTTGCCCAAGGCAAATTTCAGTCGGGTCAAACCTGTTAGCGCCGCACCCAATTTCCCGCGACATATTCCACTGGGCCATCCATGGCTTCCCTTGGGTTGGACGGGGTGAAACTGAGGAGCGTCCTGAAATTGGGGAGGTGTTTAATGGCTTTTTGGCTGCTTAACGGGACGCCAGAGGAAAAGCGGAACATCGGCTCTCAAGCCCGCCGAGGCCTGCGGCGCAGGGACTTCCAGGGCGCCTCCCCCACCTCGGGGAAGTCATCCCCCAGCAGCGCGGCCTCGTACTTGGCCAGCTCCGCCGGTGCCGCCGGTGCCGCTGGAGATTCTGGAGCCGCTGGAGCCGCTTGCGGCGCCAGCACCACGCGAGGCGCCGGTACCACGCGAGGCGGTGGCTGAGCTGGTGCTGGTGGTTGAGGCGCTGGGGGCGGGGGTGCTAGGTGAGGCGCTGGGAACAGTTGAGGAGCGGGGGGTGGGGCTGGGTGTTGCGAAAAGGGCGGGCCCCACAACGTTGTGCCGTTGGAGCCGGGGCCGTGAACATAGCCCAAATGGGCCTGGCTGGGCAGGAAGGAAGCGGTGCCGTTGGACAAAGCGCCGATGTTCACATGTCCAGGCAGGAACGGAGAGGTGCCATTCACGAAGCCCGGAGTAGAGCCATTCCCTGGAACTGAGTTGACGAAACCCGGAGTGGAGACAATCCCTGGACCTGAAGTGAAGCCAACCAATTGCGACGGCATTGACAAAGTGGGCTGAGATGGTAATAATGGAGTGTCTTCCTCTCGCGGCACCGCTGCAACGGAAGACTGCGCAAATGCTTCCACCAGCATCGCTTTCATCGACCGGATCGCCGCGCTCACCTCTGAGTCCGCATCCGGCGACTCGCTCTCCATTTTCACCGGTGTTGTCCTTCCCTTCCGCTTTGCCGGGCGTGGCAGGTCAGACTTGACCGCTCGCTGGAAGCAGAACTGCGGCAGGGACATGCGAGGCGAGTCACCAGGGACCTCATCCAAGTGAACCTTAATGCCGGCTTTGTGCAAGCGTTCGACCAGCGCCGGCGGATTGCGGATCAGGTTGCCAGCCAAAAACACCGTGCACACCGAGTTGGCCTCTGCCAGGGATGATATCAGAGAGAAGCTGCTGGCATCATCTAGAATATTTCCTGCCAGGTCCAAGTCACGGAGATTGCCAAGATGCAAGTTGCGCAAGGCTGCGACTGACCTTGGCAACTGGCCAAACCATAATTTTCAATTCCAAAGAGCTTCAACATCCACGCACGCGGCTGGGGTTAACATGGGCATGCCGACTAGTGTTGAAGCTCAACTGCAGTTTTGTCGGGTTGCCTTGCCGGCTGCGGGTGTGGGGGGGAGAAAAACACCCTTTTCGGGCTGTTTGTGTCTAGCCAAGGGTGGAACCAATGTGAAGGGGAACGGGAATGCGCTTTGCTAGCAATAACGCCGAGCTGCCAACAACCAACAGCGAACATGATAATGTCCAAGGGTCATATGCCTTAGGGGCATACACCCCAGCTCTCAACCTTGACACACCCATTTGGTCAGGAATTCCTTATCTGATGGCTCGGATCGGTGATTTGATGCGGACTTGAACCGCTGGATGGTTTCCGGCGGCAACTGGGGGCCACCCCGGCCTCCAAACCTCTTTGTTGTCAAACCGCCAGCTAAGGTTTAGTTGGCTAATTATTTATTTCCAGCGACAAAACATAGCAAACGAAGACAAAGTCACGTTTAAAAAAAGGTTGACGACCAACCGACGTTTTAAACGTGAACAGAACCCAACAAGCAGAATATTTGTTGATCTGCAAGCGGAATGGCGCTTCCTTTCACGGGCTTGCAGGAAAAAGTCGTCCAACGAGATGTCCGACCCAAACACATCACCCGAACTTCTCCAACTTCTCTAACTTCTCGCCTTTCCAAAGGTGATCAAAGCAACCAAAGGAGATGTATAAGCCTGTCTTTCTTCCCATCTTGAACCCCTGAAGGGTCCCTTTTGGACAATGGGCCTTGCACACGAGAAACGAGCTGTCACTGGTTGCTTTTGTCCCCTTGTAGCTTCCTTCAGGGGGAACCAGTCGTCTTATGCCCAGGGACAATCGATCAAAGGGTTCCCTTTTCTCCGCATGTCGAGCACAAGGGCGCCTCGTTAAACCAGCAAAGGACCCGCTGGAACAAAGGGGCAGGGAAGCACCCGCAAACCGCTTCTCAAACTCTGCTCTGGGCGCTTGTTGGTGATCTCATTGTCTGCCAGCCACAACCTCTCCAGCCCCAATGTGCCTGGGCCTGGGCTCTTTGTCAGGCACCGCACCAGTGCCTGATGGGCGAGGCACGTTTGCTGTTCCAGACTTTTTTTGGGAGTCTGACACATCCTACTCCTTCGGTGGGAATTGATGCTCCTTGTTATTCCGATGAATCTGCGCTAATTCACCAACAAGCCTGCATAACTGGCAGGAGCCCTTGCTCATGTGTTTTAGGTCACAAACCGAAACCCTCTGGGACTTTGCAAGTCAATGTGCTCAGATTTGGGTTTGTCTCAACTGCAGGAACCCGCAAGATGGGCGACGCTTCCTTGATTCCTCTGAACCTCAAAATGGAACTGCATCTCCTGAGCCGGGCCCAACCCTCCTTAAACGGCCCTAGTATTGTTCCGTCAAAGTCTCCCAACATCCAATGGGCCAGGACATCATGCTCAAGTCGTTTCTTGGCTTTGAAAACCCGCGGAAGTAGTCAAACAATGAGCCAAAATGCCCGGCAGTTCAACAGGGTTTAACGGGAAAACACGCAACTACGAGGATCCGAATCAGCTGGAACATAGAATATTCAACAAGGCATTTTTGGCCTGTTTTAAGCAACCCTGCTTAACACCCAGTGAATTTTAAAGGGGTTGTTCCAGAGAGGGTTGTTTCCAACACATTGTGTGGCAGTTTCCTTTGACCATCCGTGCAGCGTCATGAATCAGCTGACGAGTCCACGGCTTCACAGGGTTCCTTGCTGTATAAGAAGGTCAACTGGCAAATCAGGCCATGTGGCGATGCGACTCGAAAAGGACAATTCATGACCCGTTTCTGCCTCTCAATCCCGGGTTGGCCCAACCCGCGCGCGATCTTCGCGCTCGGAACGACGCCTCCAGCTCAGAGTCCCCCACTTTGGCATTCCGAAAGTCCGCCCACACCGGGAGCGGACCTCTGGCTCCGGCCGCCGCCTCACAGTTGAACCACACATGCTTGCCGCGAATACACATTTGGAACTTCGTGCGTTGCATTGCAATATATCATGAACGTGTGGAACTGGAAATCACACAATAAGAAAGGAGCAATACTTCTTCCGGTTGGAAACCCATCCAGTGCAGTTTATATAACTGGAATACCCAGCCAGTTCGCGAAAGCCCGCACCAACAGAGGGAAGCAACTCAGGCAGGTCAAGATGAAAAGGTTTTAGCATAAGTCACTCTTGGTTTCCCTTACCCAGAAGGGGGCGACAGGATGGTTCTCCTGCTGCGCCAGGCTGTTGGGCGCCGCCAGCCAGGTCAGGAGCAGGTCCCAGTGGGTCGGCGACAAATCGAAGTTCCCGAAGATCAGCTCCAGGCGCGTGGGAGACGGACAGCTGGGCTTGCCTATGTGAATCCCGTAGCGCAGGGTGGAAAAAGAACCAGACATATATAAATATATACATAGACGTGTTCATCATTTGCAACACTTTGAAAGGTTCAATGGGCTAATCACAGGATGGACCTCCCCCAACTCAAGGCCAATGAACACGTCTCACTAAAAACAAATACTTCCAAGTGAAAGTCCAACTGAACGGTAAGGTTCAGTGGAAAGTCATCATGTTTAAACAACTTACAATGTTAAGTGGGAAATAGCCAATGTCCAAACGGTTTGCCAACATCGGGTTACACCATTGAAGCGCCCAAGTTACACAGCACCCGGACACGATGCGCCAGCCACTCCGGGACCTCATCTTCCAGCTTCGCAAGGGGCTCTGAGCTGACTTCCATGACGCTGGCAGCAAGATGAGTGCATTGCGCCAGACCGAAAGGAACTCTGGTCTATTGATAGGCTGAATGGGGCAAACCCTAAAAAGGTCGATTTGGGGAAATTGGATTGGAAAGATCGCCTGAGATTTGACTTGGCCGATGCAAAGTTCGATAAGGCACTGTAATACCGTAAGCAACGAATTATTTCGCTGACGGGCCTTCTGAAATGCCTTTGGGCAATACTTGGAACATTGACGGTGCTCGACGACTTCTGCTGTCGTTGTACTTGTGCCGACCAGCAACTTGTGGTGCAAGGACTGCGATCACTCAGTGAAAATGCAATCTCTTTTGACCCCCCAGCTCCTCAGCTGCAAATAGACAATGAGTGAAACCGCAGAGGGCAGTGCACAATTGTGTGTGGGTGTCAAAGCCGGGCCTAGTCATCTAAAGCAACGAAAACGAGCAAAAGCCGAACCGCCAAGAACCCCACCATAAGGAAACAGGGCCAGAATCAAGACAAAACTGAGCGGATCCTTGTAGGTGACCCGAGCCATGTTGAACCGAGCTGTAGTGGACTGGTACAAATGGGTACGAAGAGGCTTCTTGGCGAGTGAAACTAGCACCGAACTAGGGTCCACTCAAAGCTTATCTGACAGTATCATTGCTGGGGGTTCCACTTCCCATCTGGGGTTTTCATTTTTTCCTGAAACAACCCCATTTAGAGACAAACCGTATATGGGTTGGCCCCTTGGTCAGTCACTGTCAACCCTGTTTGCAAGCCGTGCGCTTCTCTTTTCGCTCTGACCTTTTGTCACTCCGATGGCGGCGGCTGGCTTGCCTGCGGAGGCTGGCTTGCCTGCGGAGGCTGGCTTGCCTGCGGCAAAGGCAGCCACTCGCTTCTTGTCGGAACACCATGTTTCGAAATGAAGGAGAAGGGTTTCAAGTCACTTTCTTGTTTGCTGGTCTTTCCGATTTTGAGACACCAGGAAAACTTGGGCCAGGCAAACAAATTGGTAGACAGCTTCCTTCTTCAGTCATTGATTTGGGGCAAGCAAATGACCCCTGCACAAACTGGCAAGCGAGGGCGTTGACCCAGATAACTTATAACTTATATCCGCAGCTATCAGTGAGGCAGCGTCGATGTGCTTTTTCTGGAGGTGAAATCACTCACTCTCAGTCCGGCCTGTTGCATCTGCTTCAATTGCTCCTTGCAGCTCAAATGGATCTTTCCTGAAATAGGGAACCCCTGCTTGTCATGGGTTTAAAGAGAACCTTGCCAAAAACTGCCAGAAGCGGCTATCCATGTTGGAAACACTCAAACACGAGCAACAAGCCAACACCGGCAACCACTCTGCCAATACCTCTCTTCTCCAGGTTTGGGGGTTGATCTTCGGCCACCTGTGTAACCATGGGCCACCGTTGTAACCGTGATCTCAAGCCATCGTTGCCTTAGCAGCAACTCCCGAATTGCCCAGTGGCTCTGGGAAAAAAAGACACCCCCTTTTCTCGGTTGAACATGTTCAGTGGGACGCCCTCCAAACAAAAGGAAAAAGGCTGTACCTGTTGCATTTCAGCAGGAAGTCCACCGCTTGGAGGGGGGCCATTTTCAGGAACCCAAGGCCAACCCGAATACACGCAGGCATGTCGCAAAACGTTGAACGCCCTTTTGCATCGATTAAAAGAAGACCAAAAGCAAACAAACCCTTTGGAGAAGTCCCTCTGGAAGACCGGTTCTACCCTGAGAGCACACTACAAGAGTACGAACAAAGTACTCTTTTAGAGCATCATTCGGTTGAATCAGGGAATCAAACAAACGCATAGCTGTGTTCCAGAACCAAAAACCGATTTGGCACACAGTAAATCTCTTTTTGCCCGGGAGCTTGCTTGCTCCTGGTGAACTTTACGCCTCTCGTCCAGCCAAGCTTGGATGTTGGCCACCGCCTCCTAGCCCAAGGTTCGGCTGCTTGGTTTACACGGTGGAAAGGAAATAAACGAAGCCTGAAGGAGTACTCACCAGTTTTGAGAACGGCAAAGGCCAAGATACAGGAACTCGAGTGGCAGGGGGTCGCTTTTGTATCACAAATGGCAAAGGTCCGAAATCCCGGGTACGATGGCTAGATCCCTAAACATCAAACAAAAAGCGACTCGACCTAGGCGCAATAGGGGGAGAAGAAGAAACAACAAAAAGGGAAGCATAGACCACCCTCTGTTCACACCAAACCACCAAACCTTCAAACAACCAAACTAGCTGCTGCCTGAGTAGTCACTTCCAATCGGACTAGTTGTTCAAAACTAGCCAAGGAGAAGTATACCCTGAATTCCCTGGATAAGGCTCAATCAGCTCCTCCCGTTGGGGGGAAGTGGGCTGCCAGAAGGAGTTGGTCGCTTTAAAACGGGTTCAACAAGGGAACCGCCGGGAGTGTCCAGGTCTTCTCACGTAAAGTTGGAATTTGGGGCAGGAGACCCTTTAGGAGAGCCACAGGCTCAAAACGAGCACCGAAGCTTCAAAAGGCCAGCTGTTTCATGCAACTCTTGAATGGCCGAGGGTGGCACCGGCCTCACTCACCCCAACAAGCACCAACATTTCAGAAGATTCATGCTTGAATATGCATCCACAAAAGTACCCACTGTTGTGCTTGCATATTTGCTTTTTTGGAGATTGCACAAGTTACGTCCTTTTGACTGACACCTTGACTATAGTATAGGTCAGATTTCCCCTTTGCAAATCACCCACCCATAGAAACTCAATCAACATCGGCAAACCATGTCGTAGCCAAATCAACCAACGACCACCAGTAATCCGAGTGCTCCCTAAAATAAGGGACCCCCCACTGCCAAAATGGTGCGATTCCCTATGCCCTTACTTTTTAACTTTCAACGTCCAGTCACAGTTCAATGCGCAGCTGAGGCAAGTCCTGGGGCTTGTTCTTGAAGAACATGAAGTAGCCTCAGCTCAGCCCACTGCCAAGCCCAGTCCTCAAGGGACACCAAAAAGCAACCGAGACAAGAGAACCAGTTTTGGAGGGTCCGCTGTGTTGCCCTGGCTCCAAACGGGAAAACCAGCCCTTAAAGACGAAATGGACGCTAAGAAATGCAGCCTCCCTGGCCTCGACCAACCGATTTCTGATACAGCACTCGCACAGTCATGCGTACAATTGACAACTGATGTCAGCAGCGGTTCAAAACAGGG